CCTGAAGCAGACTATTTTCCTTCTGACTTCAAAACCGCTTGTTTCTTTGTCATGCTCGGATGAGTTTTCGTCACATGACATCGTTTTGCATACTAACCGTTCGGTCGTTACGGAAAAATCTCAAACCTCGGCCTACCGTATTGACCTCGTTATCGCTCGGTCAATAAGGCAAGACCTCAGTTTGAGATTTTCCCGTAACGACCGAACGGTCGAGGTTATTAAGTAGTTAATAGGGTATTGTTTGCTTATTATTATTATTTTTTTTAATAAATATTTTTCTCACATTTACAACTTAATGAGAGTGTAGTAATAACAGAAAACATGTAAAGCCTCAGACGACTAAGCTTTGTCGTGCATCGATAGTGTAGCGTGAGCGCCTTACTGATTTAATAAGTCAAAAAGAAAGTTATCGTAGTCACTAACTCGCACAAAGTCTTCTCGGAAAGTTTCATCGTGTTTTCCGCTTACACTATCGTGGTAAATTACAATTTATTCAACAGGACAGAATGACATCAAATCAAGCCGACTTGCTTTCTCCTCTTTCTCTCAAACGCTAGCTAACACTAGCGCCCTACGCTTTTAGTGGTGAATTGCGGGTTAATTTAACTTATTAACCGACAGTTCAGTTCATCACATTTCCTTAAGTGTTCGATCGATGGAATCGAAGTTCTGCCGGTGAAGTTTTGGAGTACGACCATCATTTGTCTTGACTGCTATCGACAAATTAGCGCTCCTTCGCAATAGTTCTTCTATGGATCTTCATGTTATCTTTACCCTGACATTTTCGTACCGTTTCGAACATTTTGCTTCCATGCTTCAACAAGGATAAAGCCCCTTAATTTAACGTATTTCGACGTTACCACTCTTCCATGACCTACATATAAACAACTGCTCGCTCTTTTCGTGTTGGGAAATGTTAACCGTGAGAACAGTTAATTTTCATTGCCTTTTGAATTTAATTCAACTACATTGGCACCAAATGCTATTAAAAATAGCAACGTAAGTATAGATACCATAAGTCGAAGTAAATTCAACAGTGAGGCAAACAAGATCTCGATACAGAGCTCAAAGTTCGGTAGAAATCTCAGGTAAACTCCGTCGAAACCAATAAGAATGCTACTTTAAGTCAAATCAACAAATTAAAGCTAAATCAAGGTAGATAACAAGATCCCTCGATCTGTGTACCTAACTTGACATAAGGCCATGCCTCAGTCTGACTAACACAGAGATTAAGATATGATTTCCGCAGAACAATCGAATATAAATGGCAAAAATAAAGTTACCGAAAAAACCTCATAGCGTGGTAATGTTTCGAATAAAGGTAAAAAGAACTTATATCGAGACTTTACCTCTCAAGCTGACCCCGCAAGAGAAAATGAGAGAACTTGAAGTTATCCATATTTCAATTAAAACCGACGTTTCGCGTTAGTTGAAAACACAAGAACACACGCATTAAGCATTCTTATGAAGTTTGATATAAACTTTTTCGAAATCCTTGCGAATTTAATCGCGGGATCACTGACTTAGAGAAATTAATTAAAGTGAAATGTTTTGAATAGTCTTCAAAAAGTTACCGTGTTGTGAGTAGATTTTAAGTAAATAATTTTTGCACTTATTGCTCGAACTTTGAGCGCAATCGTCTTAAGCAAGCCATGACGAGAACGTCGATAAGAACGTCACCAACTCATTCTCGTCGACGTCAAGGGGCGTGGCAATGTCGTATATGATTTGCTTCCTTAATACCTCAACAAATATTTACCGGAGAACTATCTACTATATCTCATTTAAAATAGCATAAAAAGTACTTTCTAGTTTGCCTCATGGAAGCTAGTAGTATTTTTTTTACAATTTTATACGAATTAAAATTTCGCAAAAAATGGCAAAAATTGTTGGAAAACTAAAAATAAACTGTATTTCCACTCTCCATGTCACATTTTAGGCAGCCAAACATCATTTTCCATAAACTATCACTAGACACATCCTGAAAACAGAGCAGTAAACGATCGAAACTGGAATTCTCCACGATGTTTTGGGGGGCGTTAACAGAGGAATCGCATTTCCGTTGCAATGGCGGCCGCCATTACAATATTAACTACGCGTCCTTTTCAAAAATGTCAATCTCTCGACGAAACGAAGCTTTTTTCCAAAGTTTCTGAGCTTTACGAAGCCACAAACAATTCAATACACATAATTCAAGAGTTAATTGAGATTTAAAAAGGAAAAACGGCGGTCCGAAGCGAATTTAGTCGCATTTGAACAACATGCGTGGATTTTGCCTGTACATGGCGGCGGTCACGTTACGTATGTTCATTTAGGTAAAGTTTTCGCTTCTAATTTCGAGCTAACCGTAAAATTACATTCGTATTTACTTTAAATACCTTTGGGATTGCTGCCCGCTTCCAAAAGCATCTTCGATCCTTGCAAATCGTTGAAATCATGGCCGAGAAATCGCTCATTCAGCAAAAGTCAGCAATTTTGACTTGAAATTTGTCTAATTACGCAATGTCATCATGTAGGCCACAGTGAAGCATCCCACGTGAATCTAGCCAAGTACTTAGGTAAATGTCCCAAAATTTTAGGGGAAACGAAAATAATCCGACTTTTTTAGAATTTTTCAGTCATCACTCTTCAAGTGTTGACATTTAACAAAGCGTGACAGGAGACGGTCACCCCAAAACGCAGGCCATGCAGACTGCAGACTGAAGACTGCAGACCGTCCAGACCATGCAGACTGTAACGAACGTTAAGCCGAAAAGACGCTTGGGTAAATTCCCAAGGTTCTTAGCGCGCGCTCGGCAAAAACACGTGTGCTTGCTAACGCCAGATGTAAGGCAATCGAAGTTATCTTGCTCGTTTGTGACAAAATAGATCATTTTTTTCCTTGGATCCTTTAAGATTTAAGACCAGTTCATTGCCCTTCGTCGCTGGACAAAGGTATTTGTAACTCGTTTTCGCTCTGATTTATTGTATTGTCGTAAGATTTTCTTGTATTTTGGCTTGCACATGTACTCGCAAACGGTTCAGTTTCACATGGAATTTCGTCATGTATTTGCTTTCTAGTTTTACGGTTCTATCCTACTGAGGAGATTAAAGAATCTGTAATTCTGCCAGCTATGTAATTGTTGATTGTTCTTTGGATCATTTTGGGTGAATTTGGAGTCTATTTATCGAGCGAAAGGTCGCCGGTAACACAGACTGAGTACAAATTTACCATCACATGAACTCATAACGGCAGCCTTATTTTGCTGAGAATTTGAAATGCTATTCGGTTTTCTTTAATCTTTCAATGCATTCGGTTTTTTGGTGTGATCGCGGTCACGCTCCAACAGCCATTTGGAATTACATTTAGGTAACCAAGAGTAGAAAATGTACATCTTACGTGTGACATAACATTACAAGTGAAGTTTATTTCTACATTCTAAAATAATTACTAAAGGGAGTTTCCCTTATAAAGTCTGTAATGACTATAATGCGTCCGTCTATTGAATCAACAGTCGCAGATCGTCACATACCGAGCTTGCGCGGAATGATTGAATAATTGTACAATTGAACACTATTTTGAGACGAGAACCAAAAACAAATGCGACAAGAGTAAATGCGAAAACAAGAATAAGAGACAAAAGTACTCAGTCGTCTGCACTGTCTGTATGGTCTGCACGGTCTACAGTCGATCATCTGCAGTCTGCATGGTCTGCGTTTTGGGGTGACCGCCCTGCAAAACAGCGACGTGAAATAACCAAATTCTGCATGATTTGGAGAACATGAACCACGACGGCTACATGTTAATTATTTTGCTTATTTCCCGTTTTGATCAAGTTTTTAGACCATTAGTCATACTGTGCAGAAGTAGACAATTGCAAAATTACAGGGTAAGACCTAAATTATATTTCTCAATCTTTATCTGTTCCTTTCGTTCTCAAAAACTGTTTGAGCAAGGCAACATCCCTGCTTGTTTCACTCAATGTGTTGTTGTTCAATTGAGTCTCGATAAAATTATCTAACGGTAAATCCAAAAGAGCGAAACGAAAAGCCGAAGCCTTGACTTCGAAACACAAACTTCGACCGGGCCATGATTTCGAAACCGCGTTCCACTAAAGTCAGTTGAGTGCTTTGCTTTGGTTGGCTTAATTGGAACACTAGAAACAATGGGATAACGGCAAAACTGCTAAAGGTCAGACTGGATTTTACGCGCGGTAGCTTTTATTTTTTAGGTGCCTAGAAACATTAATTCTGGAGTTTTATTTAGGAAAGCCTTGGACGATTACTACTGGTAATTTCTATTGTATATTTAACGGTTTTTAACTTAGTGTATTTTTGCTTTAATATGTATCTTATTTTATAAATCTTAATAGTTTTTATGTATTAGTTTTTAATTCTTAGTCAGCAGGACACCGTTAATAACAGTTATTTGTACTGAAGGTTCATCCTGGGTAAAGATGCGATCATTATCATTACCATTACCATTACCATTACCATTACCATTACCATTACCATTACCGTGACCGTGACCGTGACCGTGACCGTTATCATTATCATTATCATTATCATTATCATTATTATTAATATTTATTCTACTCTAGACAGCGATGAGTTATATTCTTCACATGTGAAGAATGCTATACGCGGAGCGGATTGAACGTATCGCTTTTTTTCGCGCATGAAAATATAGCCCATATAGAATTCTATTTGCAAGGTACATTATTTTAAATTTTTGCTTTAGATGTAATGAATTGTCGTTTTATTCAAAGCCGCCCTCCTTCTGCTGCGCATGTCAGCCCGGCACACATGGCAAGCCTGGTTCTCCAGGGATCCCCGGACGGGATGGACGTGATGGAAATAACGGAAATCAAGGACCCCCGGGAATAACTGGACCGGCGGGAGCTCCAGGACTGCAAGGAACAAAGGGAGAAACTGGTATACAGGGCCCTCGCGGACAAAAAGGAGAGCCTGGGGAGACTGGGACAAGTGGAAACAATGAGACTCCCTTTCAGACACATTCTAAGAACTGGAAAGAGTGCGCATGGAAAAACTTGAATGATGACAAAGATAACGGCCTAATCAAGGTACATGGGTTGTATACAATGACGAACACTTCCTCTTATTTTGTCAGCAGATCATTGGGGGAATAGCAAGCCTTTTTTCTACATTTGAACGCCAATTCATTAGCATTAATTGAGAAGATTAAAAAAATAAAGAATTTCATAGCGGTAGTAAGCTGTGATACAATAACTGCCTCGTTCCCAAGAGTTCTTCCTTCACTGGAGTGAGGTACCCATCAGGGTTCCTGGGTGTTCATGGTATTGTGGGCCTTCATGTAGCTCTCGAAAATCAGACCGCAACCTAACCATTAAGTAACCCGTATAGCAAGCGTTTCTCTAGTAAAGTGCGAACGAGTAAAGATCTGGTTGCGCGAAACTAGCAGCTAGAGCAAAAGAAGTCGGGAATCGGAGGCAGCTTTGTCGATATTTTTTTTTGCTTTTGACCCAATTTTGGAGTGGCCATAACGTTGAGTGTTCGAACAAGAGCGCTTGTTACGCAAGCTACCTAACCATCAAGCATTGCGCTCCCTGTTTCAGGCTCTATACCGAAGAAGCGCAACAGCGCCCGGCAACAGCACATAGAAAAAAGGCAGGGAATACATTTTGCTTCAGTTATTGAATTTCAAATGGCTTACATCAATAAGAATTGGATCAGGTAAAGGCCTCTACATTCACATGTAGGCTCTCAGGGCTCTTTGATTTTCTCTTTATACTGAATTATAATTAGGTAATCTTTCAAATCCCACGTAATGCCACGCGGAAACTGAAATCCGAATGACGTCTTTAAGAACTACTCTCTACTGCTGGCTTTAGAAATTCCTAGTTCAAATACTGATACAACACACAGTTACAACCATGACAACAAATTGATTATAACGACATCTAGAGAACTGCCTGAGAATATATTCTTTTTTTAGGACTGTGTGTTTACCAGGAACTTCTCTGACACTTCCCTCCATGTTTACTGGACTGGTGCCCTTAGAATCTACCAGTGCATTGGTTGCTGCAAACGCTGGTATTTCACCTTCAACGGTGCTGAATGTGCAGATCCCCTACCTATTGATGGTATTGTCTTCTTAGGGGNTATCCACGCTATTTGCATCTACGCCGCTCGTATGCATACTCTTTGTACCACGCCGTTTTGATTTGTGGAGTTGTTTATTAAAGGCCAAGAGAGTTTTTTACGCTTATTGCAGTTTCACTATCCATTAAGTAACCCGTATAGCAAGCGTTTCTCTAGTAACGTGCGAACGAGTAAAGATCTGGTTGCGCGAAACTAGCAGCGAGAAGAAAAGAAGTCGGGTGTCGGAGGTAGCTTTGTCGATATTTTTTCCTTTTGACCCAGTTTTGACGTGGCCATAATGCTGAGTGTTCGAACAAGAGCGCTTGCTACGCAAGCCACCTAACCATCAAGCACTGCGCTCCCTGTTTCAGGCTCTATACCGAAGAAGTGCAACAGCGCCCGCCAATAGCGCATAGAAACAAGGCAGGGAATACATTTTGTTTCAGTTATTGAATTTCAAATGGCTTACATCAATAAGAATTGCATCAGGCAAAGGCCTTTGCATTCACATACAGGCTCTGAGATCTCTTTGATTTTCTCTTTATACTGAATTATAAATAGGTAATCTTTCAAATTCCACGTAATGCCACGGAAACTGAAATCCGAATGATGTCTTTAAGAACTGCTCTCTACTGCTGCCTTTAGGAATTCCTAGTTCAAATACTGATGCAACACACAGTTACAACCATGACAACAAAATGATTATAACGACATCTAGAGAACTGCCTGAGAATGTACAATTCAGATAAACATTTCTTTTTTTTTTTGAGGACTGTGTGTTTACCAAGAACTTCTCTGACACTTCCTTCCATGTTTACTGGACTGGTGCCCTTAGAATCTACCAGTGCATTGGTTGTTGCAAACGCTGGTATTTCACCTTCAACGGTGCTGAATGTGCAGATTCCCTACCTATTGATGGTATTGTCTTCTTAGGGGGCGTTAGATCCCAAAATCCCCACCGGGTCCGTCATATTGAGGGACACTGTAACAACATCCACA